ATGAAAATTCTTGTTCTTACTTGATCAAATTGCAAGAATCCCTTGCAAAAAATAAGGTAAAGTGGACATTCGTGCGCGCAAGACGAAATCCTTCCAAAACCTTAGGTTTCGTAGCGATTTTAACATAAAAACATCAAAAACCCAATGGTTTTTAAGAAAAAATTGTCAAAATGTCCTTCCGCGCGCGCTGTCCGAATCCCACAAAACCAATGGTTTTTCAACATTTATGTTACATGAGCTCGCGCGAGCTACTTGTTCTTGTTCTAACATAATCAAATTTCAATAATCCCTTGCAAAAAATAAGGTAAAGTGGACATTCGCGCGCGCAAGACGAAATCCTTCCAGAACCTTAGGTTTCGTAGCGATTTCAACATAAAAACATCAAAAACCCAATGGTTTTTCAAAAAAAAATGTCAAATTTCATCCCGCGCGCGCTGTCCGACTCCCACAAAACCAATGGTTTTTCAACATTTATGTTACATGAGCTCGCGCGAGCTACTTTTTCTTGTTCTAACATAATCAAATTTCAATACTCCCTTGCAAAAAAAAGTAAAGTGGACATTCGCGCGCGCAAGACCAACAAAAAACACGACGATCTCAGGAACTTGCCCCAAAAATGTGACCAACTCCGCTCTCTCTGTCTCTCTCTCTGTCTGCTCTCTGTCTCTCTCTCTGTCTGTCTGTGTCATGTATTGTATGTCACAATTGCAGGATGCTGGGCACACGCGCGCCCCGAATAAGTGACCAAGTTCTGTGGGTGTGTACCCCACGCCAGTGTAGTAGCCACGGTCGTCCGCACGCCACGAAGTGAAGTGTCCCAACGTCATAGGGCGGGAAGCTGGGTTTGGGTGGTCGCGAAGAGTCGTTTGGATATTTGGTAGAGCTTGAACTGCCCCCCCACGAAGTGGGGGTATTGTCTCGCGTCGCATGAAAACCCTGGCACTGGTGAGAACACTGAGCGTTCGGGTAAAATGATTGTTGTTGTTGTTGTTGTTGTTGTTGAGGTTTTCTTTTCAGGCGTCCTTCAGGAGGGAAAACACACACAGACACAATGAATCGTCGATCCCACAGAAGATATGGGAAAATATGGGAAGTGGGGGGGGGAAGGCAGAAACCCAGAAGATATGGGGAATCCTTTCATTTGTGTGTATTCATTTGTGTGTCCTTGGGGCCCCTTCAGTCCTGGAGGCTGGCATCGCGGGGGGGGGGGGCAGTCGTCGGTCCCCACGGGGCAGTCCAGAAGCGGCCTGGGACGAGGGGCCGCTCCCGAGGAGGAGGAGGAGGAGGAGGAGGAGGAGGAGGGAGGGGCCCCCTTGGGGGGACAGCCAGGTCGACGCGAATGTCAGGACCCCCCGGATCTGCCTACGAGTTTTCGGGATGTCCAGCTTCCCTTGCCTTTCCCACAGTTGTCCACGTTTGCATGAAAGCGAGAGTTGACGTACAGTCAACCTGCGTAGAAAGGATGGGCAACCTTCCCAAGAGTACCCTTGCATCCTTGCCTCCTCGGTCCATCCTGCGCCACTTTCGTTGGCCGCGCCCCGCGCGAAAAGCTTCGAAGTGGGCGTCCAAGGCCCTTGCATCCTTATCGCGCATCCTCACTATACTGGCTGACTGTAGGTTTGTGCCAGTTTTTCCCTCCTGGCCATGGAAGACAACGGGTCGAGAGGTCCAGACTTCTGCCAGGGACCTGTTTTTTATTCCAGACGGTCAGGCGCTCGAGATTGGCCCCTGGACTTCAGATCCAGACGCGAGATTGGCCTCCCTGATTGGGAACGGGGAGGAAGGGTAGGGTCCGCAGAAGGCATCTACACACCACCGTGGCTGGCCAGGGCCATCCTCGGCGCTAGGATGACAGAATCCTGGGTCGGCCTGGGTTCGGCCAGGCCAGGAACGCATGCACATCATTCCAGGGCCCATCATGGTCCTGGCCAGGTATGGTGGTGCTGTGCAGCCTCCTTCCCTGCACCTCGAGAACCATGATTTCATAAACGTTTGGGTCGGCACTGGGCCCCCCTCCCCTGACGCGCCGGAGGCGCCGCCAAGGGGGGTCCAGTGCCCACCCAAGGACTCCGTGCGGGTACGTGTCCATGCAGTTTTGTGCATCGCCTGCACGTGCGATGCCTCGATTGTTTCAGCACGGGGTCCCCGGGAAGTCCCGACCAACGCCCCACGGGCAGGCTTCTCGTACATGCGCTGCTGTCTGACGGCCTTCGGGCTGGGCGAGGTCCCCCCGTGGGCCGCAAACGGCCGCAAGTTTCCGCCGATGCACCTGCATCGGCGATGCGGCTCGATGCGGAGCCCAGTTCTCCCCACGCCGACGTCGCCGATGCATCGCCGACGTCGCCGATGCATCACCGACGTATCGCCGATGCATCGGCGATGCGGCACGATCCTGCAGCTCCATCTGCTCTAACCCATCTGGGAGGCCCCTATCACTCTCCTACTCATGCTCCCGCTCCTCCTCCTCCTCCTCGTCATCATTCGCATCATCATCCTCATCATCAGCATCATCATCATCATCATCATCATCATCATCATCATCATCATCATCATCATCATCATCTTCATCTTCATCTTCATCTTCATCTTCATCTTCGTCATCATCATAATCTTCGTCGTCGTCGTCATCAACATCATCATCATCATCCTCATCATCACATTCTTCTTCATCAATACTCATCACCATTCTACACCTCGTTTTTCCCTTTTCTCGTCATCATCCTGTTTGTTTATCGTCCTGTTCATCCGCCACCTCGTTCTCCTGCCATGCACGCAGCTCCCCGTCATGAGTCCGCATCTCACGACTGGGGTTCCAGATCCAGACAGACGATGGCGGATGGAGAGACATCACCGCAATGGGAAGGGAGGGGTGGGTATCAATGATGATGTTGATGCTGCTGCTAATGATGATAATGGTGATGATGATGGTGACGATGATGATAATGATGATGATGATGATGATGATGATGATGATGATGATGATGATGATGATGATGATGATGTTGATAATGATGATGATGATGGTGATGACGGTGCCCCGGTAATACTGATAATGCCGATATTGTTGTTGTTGATGAAGAGGGTGGTGTGTGTTATGATGATTATGATGCTGACGCTACTGCTGAATATACTGTTGATAATGCTGTTGGTGATGACTACTCTGAACATGCTTACGAGTATGATTCGTTTGATGATCATGCTGATGACGAGGATGGTGACGATGACACTGCTGATGACGATGATACTGATACTGATTACGCTGACGACGATGGCGGCGACGATGATGATGCTGATGTTGATAATTATGTTCAGGAAGAGGATGGGGATGGTGCGTCTGCTGCTGATGAGGACTAATCGGATGACGCTGACGATGATAATGATGATCATGATGATGATGATGAGGATGATGATGATGATGATGGTGATGATGATGCTGGTGACGGTGGCAGTAACGATGATGATGATGCTGATGCTGATGATGATGAGTATAGTTATGGTGACGATGATGGTGATATCGCTGATGATGGTACTTATGATGATGGTATTGGTAATGATGACGACGATGATGATGATGGTGATGCTGGTGATGATGATGTTGATGATGCTGACGATGACGATGACGATGATGATGGTGATGATGATGGCGATGATGACATTGATGATGCTGATGACGACAATGACGATGACGATGACGAAGATGATGGTGATGCTGGTTATGCTAATAATGCTGATGATGGTTACGACGATGATGATGATGATGGTGATGATGATGATGACGATGAGTAGTGTGATGATGGTGATTATGATTTTGCTAGTGATCATTATGATGATGCTGCAAGGGCTGATTGTGATGAGGATGCTGATGATGATAATGCTCATGGCGATGATGGTGATGATGATAATGATGATGGTGATGGTAATGATGTTGATGCTGATGCTGATGCTGATATTGCGATGATCGTGATGCTGATGTTGATCATGATCATTATGATGATGCTGCAAGTTCTGATTGTGAGTATGATGCTGCTGTTTACGATGCTCATTGTGTTGATGATGGTGGTGATGATGATGTCGATGATGATTATGACGGTGGTGATGATGATGATGATGATGATGGTGATGGTGATGATGATGATGATGATGATGATGATGATGATGATGATGCTGATGTGGCTGCTGATGATGATGATGACGATGACGATGACGATGATGATGATGATGATGATGATGATGATGATGATGATGATGCTGATGATGATGATGATGATGATGATGATGATGATGATGATGATGATGATGATGATGATAATGACGGTGGTGGTGATGGTGAAGATGACGATGCTGATGATGGTGGTGCTGATGGTGATGAACAGCAGGAGGAGGAGGAGGAGGAGGAGGAGGAGGAGGAGGAGGGGGAGGGGTAGGACGATGATGAGGATTATGAGGAGGAGGATGATGATGGGGATGGTGATGGTGATGGTGATGACCATGATGATGAAAATGACGATGATGAGGAAGAAGACGAAGATGATGCTGATGATGGTGATGATGTTGATGCTGATGCTGATGCTGACTCTGATGCTAATGCCGATTCTGATGCTGATGCTGATAAGGACAGGAGAGGAGGAGGAGGAGGAGGAGGAGGAGAGGGAGGAGGAGGAGGAGGAGGAGGGAGGAGGAGAGGGGGAGGAGGAGGAGGAGGACGAGGAGGAGGAGGAGGAGGAGGAGAGGAGGAGCGAGGAGGAGGAGGAGGAGGAGGAAAGAAGGAGAAGAAGAGGGGGAGGAGGAGGAAGAGGAGGAGGAGGAGGAGGAGGGAGGAGGAGGAGGAGGAGGAGGAGGAGGAGGAGGAGGAGGGAGGGAGGAGGAGGAGGAGGAGGAGGTGGAGGAGGAGGAGGCGGAGGCGGAAGAGGAGGAGGAGGAGGAGGAGAAGGAGGAGGAGCAGGATCAGGGTTGGGCGTCGTACCCAGTGTTGTCCTTCCCCATGTCGGGCGTCCCCGCAGGAATGCCCGGCGGGATCCTGGCCCCCGGCGGGCTCCCCGCCCTGCCCCCGCAGCCGGCCCCTGGAGGCGCGACACGGGCCTCGGGAGCGAACTAGGAGCAGCGAAGGGCGGCAGGTGCACGCCCACACCGATCCTCCTCCTCCTCTCCTCCTCCTCCTCCTCCTCCTCTCCTCCTCCCTTTGTCCTCCTCCTCCTCCCCCTCCTCCTCCTCCTCCCCTCATCCTCCTCCTCCTCCTCCTCCTCGTCCTCCTCCTCGTCCCTCCTCCTCCTCCTCCTCCTCCTCCTCCTCCTCCTCCTCCTCCTCCCCCTCCCTGCTTCTTCGGCTACGCTCCACCTCCCCCTCCCTGCTTCCTCCTCCTCCTTCATTTCTTTGCCCTTTTCCTTACAACTAAATTCTCCCTGTCGCACCCCGAGGGCAGTTTTTAGGGCGGTCCGGGCGTTTGGCCTGAGACTTCCTCACCGTTTATGACCCTGAGGCTGAAAAGTTGACAACACTTTCACAGATGGAGGGCCGATGGCTTTTCAAGTTGTGGCTCTCGCTTTGGCGCCGCGCACATTCGCTTCAAACATTGCAAGAGTTACACGGATTGAGGGCGGGTCGTTTTCAACATGTGGCTCTCGCCTTAGCGCCGCGCATATTCGTTCTAAGCATTTGCATGAGTTTCACGCATTGAGGGCGGGCCGTTTTTTAGATGTGGCTCTCGCCTTAGCGCCATGCACACTCGCTGTGCAAAATTGCAAGACTTTCACAGATCGAAGGCGGGTCGTTTTCAAAATGTGGTTCTCGCTTTAGCGTGTTGACAACTTACGACAGTTCCACGGATTTCCATGATCAGCATGTCAGAAATGGTGTTTAGGAAGGGTTCAGAATTACTAGGGCGCAACAGTTACGTCGATTCGCGGTGTTCACGTCCCAAGAAAGGCGTTCTGGCTCGATTCAGGATCCGTGGTGTTGGAATCCCGAGAACGATGTGTTGGCATGCGTCAGGGTATTCAAACGGTTGTCTTCCAACGAAGCAGCTCCCTCAGTGGAAATGAACCCTTTTAGGGGTCTGTAAAGAGGGAACTTGGAGGGAGCGTGTATTCCAACATCGTTGATGAGTCTTGGGTTTACACTGGTCCTCCTCCTCCTCCTCCCTCTCCCTGCTTCCTCCTCCGCCTCGTCCTCCTCCTCCTCCTCCTCCTCCTCTTCGTCCTCCTCCTCGTCCTCCTCCTCTTCGTCCTCCTCCTCCTCCTCATCCCTGCTTCCTCCTCCTCCTCTTCCTGCTCCTCCTCCTCCTCTCTGCTCCTACTCCTCCTCCCTGTTCCGTGCTCCTCCTCCCTGCTGCTCCTCCTCCTTCTCCTCTTCCTCCTCCTGTTTCTCCTCCTCCTCCTATTCCTCCTCCTCCTCCTCCTCCTCCTCCCTGCTTCGTCCTTCTCCGGCTCCTCCTCATTCTCCTTCTGCTCCTCCTGCTCCTCCTTCTCCTCCTCCTTCCTGCTTCCTCCTCCTCCTCCTCCTCCTCTTCCTCCTCCTCTTCCTCCTCCTCCTGCTCCTCCTCGTCCTCTGTCGCCCTGCTGCTGCCGGTTCTCCTCCTCCTCCTGCTCCTTTCCTTCTCCTCCTCCTCCTCCTCCTCCTCCAGCTTCTCCTCCTGCTCCTCATCGTGTTCCTCCATCTCTTCCTCCTCGTCCTCCTCATCTTCCTCATCCTCTTCCTCCTCCTGATTATCCTCCTCCTCCTCCTCCTCCTCGTCCCTCAAGTGCGGCGCAGGCCCCGCAGCAATTTCCGTATTGGTTTTTCGCTCGGCGCCCTAGCCCCGTCCCCGCCTCATCGTGGCACTTGGGTGGCACCGGGACAACCTCATCCTTTTCGGGACGTTCAACCGGTGGCGAAGGGGGACGGAAGTCAGGCTCGGCATTTTTGTTTTTATGCTTGCTGTATTGCTGGCCCGGGTGTCATCAGCTACCATGTTGGTATCTCCCATCTCCGCCTGGGGAGGGTATGCTATATATGATCCAGGGTCGAGGGCCCACGGGCCCCCCCCCCCCAGATGGTATGGTCCCAGGATTCCTCGGGCCCCCCCCCCCCAGATGGTATGGTCCCGGAGACGACGACGACGACGACGACGACGACGACGACGACGACGACGACGACGACGACGACGACGACGACGACGACGACGACGACGGCTGCGACGACGGCGACGACGGCGACGACGGCGACGACGACGACGACGACGACCACGACGACGACAACGACGGCTGCGGCGCGACGACGACGACGACGGACGACGACGACGGACGACGACGACGATGACGACGATGACGACGGCGACGACGACGATGACGACGACGACGACGATGACGAGACGACGACGACGACGACGACGATGACGACGACGACGATGACGACGACGACGACGAGGACGACGAGGACGACGAGGACGACGACGACGACGACGACGACGACGACGACGACGACCTCTGAACCACCACAGCACCACACCACATCCACAGGGGGGGGGAGGGGGGCACCGCAGTGCAACACCACGCCACGCCCACCTCTGAACCACCACAGCACCACACCACATCCACAGGGGGGGGGGGAACCGCAGCGCAGCACCACGCCACGCCCACAGGGGGGGGCGGGGGGGACCATCGCGCGGGGGGGGGGGGCCAATGGCATCAGCATTGGGGGGGGGGGGGTGGCCCAAACTCGGACCATATATCTGGTGGTTTGGGGCACCATTTTTTCATATTGTGGTAGGCTGTCAGTGCTGGTGCACATGATGCGTTCAACGTACTGTCATTCTCACCGTCTTCTTTTTTGTTCGGCTGCCGTCGGGCGCGGCGTCTCACAGCATTCAGTGTTATTGCTTGGTCTGGCAGTCAGTTTTGTGTATCGAGGGACCTGAGTGGGTTTCAGTTCACAATAGTGGTGAAGTTCACAACCCTGTCAGCGCTGCCAAACTGCGTATCTCGGGCCTGAGTGTGCAATGGGTTTGTCACCGCTTTGGTTGGCATCGCAACACACAGTGTCGGTGGGATTCTCAGTTTGTCAGTTCATGTATTTTGTATGGTTCGTGCTGTGGGGTTTCCTCGTTTCGTCCGTCTTCTGAGCTGGGGAGAGGGCTTAATCACAAGACTTTGTCTTATGGTCATACTCATATTCATACTCCTCCTCCTCGTCCTCCTCGTCCTCCTCGTCCTCCTCCTCATCCTCCTCCACGTCATCCTCCTCGCCCTCCTCCTCCCAGCCTCCACCTATTCACCTAGCCGCCTGCATCCTGCCGAACCGGGCCAGGCCGATCGGTGCATGACCAGCCAAGCTCAGCGGAGGCGAGTTTAGACGACGGCAGTTGGCCTTCGTTGGGGGTGCTCTCGTCGCCTTGGCTGGATGCAGCTCGGGAAGTTCGTGCGTTTGGACCGCGGGAGAGGATGGGGTACCTTCTCTTGATGTTCCTCCTCCTCCTGCTGCTGCTGTTCCTCCTTCTCCTCCCCCCGTGCGTTAAAACCCGGGGAGGTCAGGGTACCGATCTCTAGTTGCCGTTGTCTCGAATCGCCCTGGTCCGAGACACCAGTCCTGGGCCCTGGGTTTGTGTGGCCAGGCCCAGGTGGGTGTGGCGCATTTCTTCGATTGCCTTTCATGGCCCATGAATGGAATCGGGGATGACGGTTCGATGTTTTTTATGCGTGTGTGGTTTCCTCCGATGCGTTTGCGACATTGTGGCGGCCCCCATGGGGGCGGTGAGGGAGCAGCAAAAGCCGACGAGCGATTTCATAACCCTCTATGCTTTCCAGCAGCGTGATTCCTCATGGTATGGTTTCATTGTTCTCGCTTCGCATCGGTGCGTGTAGAGTGCACGTGCAATCCCGTATTGCGGTGCCATGGTTCAGCTCACGATTTCAATTCCAGCGTCGGGGAGATTGGGTAAAGGAGTTCAGGGGGCCATTCTAGGCAGGTGGCCCAGGGGTGGCGGGATTGCACCGTCCTGCCCATGGCAGGAGGGGGCGTGGCCTTGGTGAAAACGGATCCCCTGATCCCCAGGGTTTCCCCCAGGGCGGCTCCTCCCGTGTCGGTGCACTGACGGCTCCGTGCCCAGCGATGGCCCCGGAAGCCCGAACGCGGTGGACAGTTTCCAGGGCTCCTGTCTTCCGCCCTAGGACCCAAACCCTGTGCGATGGTGACAGCCCTCCACTTGCAGAGAGGGCTGGTGACGTGTCAGGGGTGCTCCTGACTCGGCTCGGTCGGCTGCATCGCAGTCGGCTGCGTTCGGTCGGTCCGTTCGGCTGCGCTCGGGTCTGTCGGCCTCGGTCGGCGTCGGTCCTGCTGTCGCTTCGGCCAGTGCTCGGTGCTGCCGTCGCCGAGCCGTCGGCGTCGTTGCCCGCGTGTGTTCGTTTTGGCATCGCCTTACCCGCCCACCTTGTCTCCTGTTCCGGCATCGAGTGAGGGGTGGAAGCGAGAAAGGGCGGGCCTTCTCAGAAGGCTCGGAAGCCCCCCGGGCCTTCCGAGAAGTGTGTTTTGTGAGCCGTCCCCGAAGACGGAGAATCTGTCAGAAGGTCGGAGGACTTCTGAGCTCCGCTGGCCCGCACTGGCACGCTGGCGACTAGCTGGCCGTGGGACTCGCATGGGCACTGTCTGCTCCCGAGCCGTTGGTGCATCCTCGTCCTCTCTCCCGCCCTCGTCTTCTCCGAGCCTTCGTGCCCTGGGACAGAGACAAAGTCTGAGAAGTCCCGCCGCCTTCTGGGCAGGCCTGTTCCTTCTCACTTCGCCCCCTCGCTCGCCGCCGACAGTCTGCGACGCAGATGCAGCCCGTGCGGGCTGGACCTGGCCTCGCCAGCTCGCGCGAGGCGCCCCCCCCCCCCTCCAAGGGAACCGCTCTGGCAGGCCCAGCTCCCAGAGCGCTCTCGCACCGATCCCTGAGGCGGCCGCGGCGCCCCGACCTTTGTCAGGAGGAGAACACACACACACACACACACACACACACACACACACACACACATAGACACACACACAAACAGAGACACAATGAATCGTCGATTCCCCCGAACATATAGGAAAATATGGGCAGTGGGGGGGAAGACAGAAACCCAGAACATGCGGGAAAAGATGGGGATTCCTTTCATTGGTGTCTATTTGTGTGTGTGTGTGTGTGTCCCAGGGCCCCTGCAACGTGGTGTCGCTGCCGGACCGAGGCGTAAGATCGAGGCCGTTTTGGGGGAGGGTGCCCTGCTGTTCTTCGCGCCTGCTGCATGCCGTCGTGCGTCCCCGGGGAGGGCACCGCACCCCGGGAGGTTCTGTTCGTTCTGGCCGACGGCGGGCCTCACGTTCTCGAAGGGTGTTCTTCTGGCCCAGGTCGGACTGTCCCTAAGTAGGGTCGGGGGCGGACAGAACCCCCAACAGTGACACGTCGATTAGTAAATTGTCCGTTTTTGGTTCTCGAGAGAGCGCCGTGGCCGTTATTTTCCAGGCCTGCGCCCGCCAGGTTTGGGCCTCAGGTCGTTTTCACTAAACCACGTTTTGCTAAAGGGGGGTCTGTCCATCCCCGATAGGGGGTGGAATGAAAGGGCCCTCAGGGGGGGGCCTGTAAGCTCAAGTCAGGCAGGTCCCTCTGCAGGAGGAGTGACCCGAGCATGTGTAAGACATAGTCTGGGGACCATATCCCAGATTTTGTTTATACTAGTGTTGCTTAGTTTGACCATGCTTTATTTCTTCTTCCAAGATCCGTCTCTAGGAGGACATGCCCGACCCAACTTTGAAGCCCCTGTTTGCTCCCGCTGGCTCCCAAAGGGGCCCTTGAAAAGGCCCCTCGAGGGACCTCTTCTCCATCCCCCACTGAGTCCACCCCCCATTACCGCCCGCCTGAGGCACCTCCTCCAGCCGAGCCGACGTTCAGGAATTTCCGATCTGCGGTCGGGGGCCTCGCTTCAGCTTGTCGCGTCGCCAGTTCTGACCCACGCCTCGGCGCGGCACACTGACCACTTCCCGAGTCCCAAGCGGCAGTGCCCCGAGGCCCTCCCCAGCCTCCCGCGGAGCGGAGCGACGCCCTGTCGCCTCAGGGCGTGGCGGGCCTCTGGGGCCGCTGCCGCCGCGACGCGCTGGGGCAAAAGTTCTCTGGACCGCCTCTCGAGCCGATGTCGTCCTTGCCTCGGGGACGGCAAAGAGGGGGGGGGATGACTAGGGGGGGGGGATATTATGGCGGGGGCCATGATATTTCCCCAGATTTCATGGCGCCTCTTCTTATTTCATTCCGTCCCTGGCCCTCCCGCTGGGCCGCGCACATGCCGCTAGTCATGATTTGCACCACCCCCTCTTGGACCCCCCCCTCTTGGCCTCTCCCGATCGTCCCGGCTTCGCCCCAGCACCCTGCCCTGGAGTCTGGCCTTAGGTCGGGCATGTCCCCCCTTCAGGCGTATTCTGGGCGAAAATTCAAAATACCCCAAAAAATACCCCGAAGTAGGCAAAACATGCCCCAAAAATTGTCCCCAGACTTTTTGTTTGAACATTCCTCCTGTAGAGGGACAGGCCCGACCCTGGCCCACTGGAGGTCTACAGGCGGATTTTGGGCGAAAAATCCAAAACAACCCGAGAAATATCCCAAAGGAGCAAAACAAATGCTCAAAGCATCGTCCCCTGATTATTTTTTTATTCTTTTTGAATATTGGAGAGGCCTGACGGCTGGTGCCGCCGACCCTGATCGAAAGGGCTAGGAGTGGGGGGAGGAAGCGGAGGATGAGGATGAGGAGGAGGAGGAGGAGGAGAAGGAGGACGAGCAGGAGGAGGAGGAGCAGGAGGAGGAGGAGGAGGAGGAGGAGGAGGAGGAGGAGGTGTGAATATTTCTCCTGCAGAGGGACGGGCCCGACTTCAGCCTGGCCCACCCGAGGCCTGCCTGGCATGCTGCAGCTCCCGGCGCTGCCGGGCGGGGCGGGCGGCGCGCTGCCGCCGCCGCCCCGGGTGCCGCCGCCCCGGGGGGGCGGGCCGGCGGCGCTGATGCCGCCGCTGCAGTGGCCGAAGGTGGTCGGGCGGCGGAGAGGGCAGAGCTCAAGCGACGCGAAGATCGGGGCAACATCGGATCGGGATGACTCGAAATCTCTGAGAATCGGCGGGTTTGGAGGATGTGTTGGAGGAGCCGCGGCCGCCCCAGAGCGTTCCGGAACGCTCTGAGCGCGCTCCGGAACGCTCTGGAGCGATTTATCCCGATCCTAGCCCTGTTTTAAGAGCGGGTGCTGCTGGAGGTGCCCCTGGGCCAGGGTGCCCCCAGGAGTTCCACGGAGGCCCCCACGGCCTGGCCTCCGAAGCTCCAGACCTCCCAGATGGGGTCCGAGTGGACGGGGTCGGAGGATCGCGCCGCATCGGGGATGCATCAACGATGCGGCTCGATTCGGAGCCCGTGTCTCTCCACGCCGATGGCGCCGATGCCTCGTCGACGCCGCCGATGCATCGCCGATACATCGGCGACGTATCGCCGATGCATCGCCCATGCGGCGCTATCCTCCGACCCCATCTACTCGGATCCCATCTAGGAGGCCTCTAAGGGTGCCCCCAGGATTTCCACGGAGGCCCCATCGGCCTCCAAAGCACCCCTCACGAGGCCCAGGGGGGCCATGGGCACCAAGAGAAGGCGAGAAGCCGTGGGCACCTTGGGCCAGGGGCACCATCAGAGGAGGGAGCCGTATACCGTATACCCACCCTGAGACCTTAGCACCTCACTGTTTGCTCGAGCCGGGCGTGTGCGCCGGGTCTTCGGGCCCGGGGACCAGATCGGTCCGCTTCGAAACACGGCGCCGAAAGAGGTTCTGGTCGCGTGATTCCTCACAATGATGGACGAACGAGCAACACGCACCCATTCCCATAGAGAGGACGCTGGGGGCTATGGGTGCGTCTTGTCAGACGGGGGTCCCCGCTCGAACGGGAGCCTCCCCCGCGGTCCGACAACCCGCACCCATACCCATAGCAAGTCCTCCTCCCGCCGACCCCCCTATGGGCATGGGTGTGTGTTGTCCGTTCGTTCATGATGCGTTTGCTGTGTGACGTCCCAGACATGCAGCGTCTTGATTTTGTTCAGTCCCGGGGGCCAGTTCCTCAGCCCGAGTCGTTTTTTGTCGGCCCCAGAGCCCAGCGAGGGCCCCAGAGGTCCGAAGATGGCGAGACATTGGCCGTCCTGATTTTTTCACGGCGCGATCATGTCTGGGTTACGTCGGGCCTGGCCCAGCCTCGCCCTCCTCCTCCTCCTCCTCCTCCTCCTCCTCCTCCTCCTCCTCCTCCTCCTCCTCCCCCTCCTCCCCCTCCTCCTCCCCCCCCTCCTCCTCCTCCTCCTCCTCCTGGCATTTTTGTTGGCAGAGAGCTTCCAGAAGTCCTGGCGACGACGCGCGGCGACCCGGCGCAGACCCGAGGCACCATAGCCAGCGCACGGACGGCGAGCGCGCTGAGGGCGTGGACGGACGGCGAGCGCGCGGAGGTTTGGAAATGCCAGCCAGCGCACGGGGTGACGACCTATAGAGGCCAGAACATCCTCCCTGGAGGGCAGAAAATCCACCCCCTCCCTGGAGGGCAGAAGAAGTCGTCCATAGCCAACGCACACGCAGGGAAGGCGTCGAACAGGTCAGGGCTGCCTAGTGAGCGCCCAGGGCTGTTTAGTGAACATTAATCGTCGGGTCCGGGTGGCTTTTCCTCCCCTTGCCCTGACCTTCCAGGAGGGCTAAAAAATAGCACCAGGACGTCAACGTCCTAATTCCTGTCGAGGTTTGAGACGGTCCAGATAGATATCTATCGGTCTGGAGTGCTATGTTTTAGCACTCTGGAAGGTCCGGGGACGAGGCGGCGACGGGGCGAAAGCCGTGAGCCGCCTCCGGAATGGCCGCCCTGCGGGGGGAACTCTCGACGCTGCGTTCCTCTGAAGATCGAGTCGCTGCCAGAGCGCCGGATCGATTTCAAGGCGGTGAGCAGCGGATCTGACTCGCCTCTCGTGGCCGGGCCGAGCTTGGGGAGGAGGGGAGACCGTTTCACGTGTCCCCCTCCCGTGGACAAGTGAAATCTTTAAAGGCGTTCACAGGACAGGCTGAGGCGCTCCTGAGCACGCTGGTCTCCCAGACTTGCGATATCCTGATTTTTGCAGCACGGGGTCCCTGGAAGGCCGGGCCCGTTCCCCAGGACCAAATGTCCATCCCGAGTCATCGCCTGACGGTCTCAGGGCCGGGTAAGTGCTCCCAGAGGCTCAACATCGGTTGTACAAAGATAGGGTCCGGAGGGATGGGACCTTCAGAATAGGGAGGGGTCCAAGGGTGGATCTGCGTCGTTCTGCGGCACCTCGTCCTGATGACCCCCTCCCTCAGGACCCCTTTGTTGAGCTCCAGACGGAGCGATCCGCGCGTTTGGGATCGAGCCTCAGCTCGGGGCCTCCCCTCTGTCGGGGGTGGACAGACCTCCTACCCTGACACGTCGATCAAGGAATTGGCCGCTTTCGGTTTGCGAGAGGGCGCCGCGGCCGTCATGTTTGCGGGTCCAGGTCCGTCGGTTTCGGTCCCAGGCCGTTTTCACTGAGGGGAGGTCTACGAAAGGGAGGTTTGTCCACCGCCGACTCTGCGGCAGGTGGGCGCCCCGCCCGCTCGGGAGCTCCCGAACGAAGTGAACCCCACCCTCCCCCTCAGAAATCGCGGGGGGTGGGGTTAGGGTTCTCCTCCTCCTCCTCCTCCTCCTCCTCCTCCTCCTCCTCCCTACGCCCCCGCAGCTCGGGGCCTCCCCTCTGCGGCAGGTGGGCGCCCCGCCCGTGCCCTACCCCGCGCTCCAGGCGCAGGAGGGCTCCCTGGGCGGCAGCCACGCGCAGCCCCACCTGCCCATGCTGCCCAGCCTACAGGGCGAGACGGGGGGCACGATGCAGGCTGGCCTCGGGCGAACCTTTCGTGGAAGACCCTGCTCCTTCTTCTCCTCCTCGTCCCCCTTCCTCCTCCTCCTCCCCCTCTCCTCCTCCTTCTCCTCCTCCTCCCCTCCTCCTCCTCCTCCTCCTCCTCCTCCTCCTCCTCCCTCCTCCTCCTCTTCCTCCTCCTCCTCCTCCTCCTCCTCCTCTCCTCCTCCTCCTCCTCCTCCTCCTCTCCCTCCTCCCCTCCTCCGCCTCCTCCTCCTCCCTCCTCCCTCCTCTCCTCCTCCTCCTCCTCCTCCTCCTCCTCCTCCTCCTCCTCCTCCTCCTCCTCCTCCCTCCCCCCCTCCTCCTCCTCCCCTCCTCCTCCTCCTCCTCCTCCTTCTCCTCCTCTCGTCTTCTCTCCCTCCTCCTCTCTCCTCCTCTTCCTTCTCCTCCGCCTCTCCTCCTCCTCCTCCTCCTCCCGTCCTCGTCCGCCTCCTCCTCCCCTCCTCCTCCTCCCCCCCCTCCTCCTCCTCCTCCTCCTTCTCCTTCTCCTCCTCCTCCTCCTGCTCCTCATCCTGCTCCTCCTCCTCCTCCTCCTTCTCTTCCTCCTCCTCTTCCTCCTCCTCCTCCTCCTGGCGTGCTGTCAAATCGTTTCCGGATGTCGAAAAAGGGCGCCAGGAAGTATGGAACAAATGGTTCAGCTATGCCAGGACCATGTCTGGTGCCCGTTTTCTGTTTCAGTGCAGCTTCGGCACATGGAGAAAGCACATTTCACATGCAAGGACCGGGCTGTCAGAGTGCCCACTGTCATGGCATCCACAAGGCTGACCCATCACCACCCCTGGACCTCCTCGCGTCGCGGAAACGTCGCGACGAGAGACCGCTTTTGTTCTTGTGTTTGCAGTGTGTGTTGTGTTCCAGGGGCCCTCACCGGGCCTCACCGGGACCGTCAGCAAAACGACTCGAAATGAAGGGCAGGTCCCCGGGAAGTGGTCGAGACCTCTTTGGGGGGCGCCGACGTTCTGCGAACAGATCACGACGTCGGGGCTTTGGGTCCCCACGGGGCCATGGCATCGCAGCCCCACCCGTCCACCCTCCCTAGCTGGGGATAGGCCCGTTAAACCCGAAAAGCAGAGGCGTAGGTCGCTGCCTAGTAGGTGTGTGTTGGTCAGTGGGGACGAGGCCACGCCAGTGGGGATAATGTTAGTCCCGATCATTTCGGGGCTAAGATTATCCCTTTGTGACTTAATCGCAAAGGGAGGACGGTGGGGGGAGTCTCATCCTTTTGTGAAGAGGAGGTGGGGCATCCACCCCACTCCTGAGAGAAGACGAGGGGGGGAATCCTCCCTTTGTGATGTGATCCAATCACAAAGGAAGGATCCCCCCCTTCGCGTTCTCTCAGGAGTGGGGTGGGGGAGGACAGCGCTCCCGGCGGCGACAGATGTGACGTTCTTCTCCCACGGTTGCGGCGGCTACAGAATTGCAGCGCTTCAGCTTCTGTTGCCTGCTGTGATCCGCGTGATGGCGAGAGACGCCGCTCCGGCGATCTTGGGCCGCCCAAACACAGATTGCTCTTGGCCCGATAGGTCTGTTCTTGTTCCTCACGGTTGAGCAGACATTGGGGATGGGTTAAACGTTGCTCAGCAGGCGCTACCGTCAATCTCCATGACGAACGCCCGCGCGGCCCTGCCCCTGCGCGAGATCCAGGCGGCGCTCCCGGCCGCGGAGGCCGAGGTCATGCCGCCGGGCATGGTGCACGAGGACGGGGTGCATAAGATGGCGCCGCCCGGCACGCCCCCGAGCAACGACATGCCCCTGCCGCAGCGGCCGCCAGAGGCCTTCGAAGGAGACGAAGAATGACGAACGAGCAACACACACCCGTACCCATGAGGGGGTCGTTGGGAGGAGGACTGGCTATGGTCAGAGCGTGAATTACCTACCCCGCTTTCGCTTCCAGGCAAAACCAAGCCATACTACGCGCCTCCTCGTCAAGCGGCCTGACCAGTACAGGCTGCAATTTGGCATCGTTTGGTATCTCTTGGAAGCGAGGGTGGTCAAAAGCGAGGTAGGTTTGTTTTCCCCCCATCTGGGTATGGGCGCGGGTTGTCGGACCCTGGGCAACGCTCCCGCTCGAGCGGGGACTCCCATCCGACAACACGCACCCATATAGCCCTCTCCGACCCCTCTATGGGTATGGGTGTGTGTGTGCTGCTGCTTCGTCGAAGAAGCCACGAGAGCACGCAGGAACCTCTGGAGCTCCGCGCGGGGCTTCTCCGGAACAAGACAGCACCCGGCCCCTGGCGCCTTACGTAAGACGCGCTCCGCGCGCACACCAGGGGCGAGGGGCTCGGCGCGCCGACCCCCGAGAGATCCGCGCGGGGGCCTCCGACAGCTCAACCCCCACCCCTGGATACTGCAGGTTCGTGTCGTGTCGACCGGCGGCGTCCCCGCCGCCGACGTTCAACGTTGAACGCCGACGGCGGCCCAGAATCGGTCGATGTTGAACGATTGGACGTTGCGGAGACGGCCGATCGTTCGAGGTTGAACGATCCAGCGCGGTGTCAGGAACCAACGCCAGGGTCGACACAGCACGAACCTGCAGTAAGAAAGCTCGGGCCGGAGGAAAGGGGGGGGAATTGGGAAAGGGGGGGGTACGAAATTTGCTGCCTGCAGCCGGTTTCGGCCTCATCGAGGGGCCCCTTCCTCGACACATGGGCGCCTCCGGCGGCGGGAGGCGCCGGGGAAATCAGCTACTTGAGCTGGTTCTCACCCCCCCCCCTTTGCTTCCCCCCCCCCTTTCGCCCGACCCGAAAAGCATGCCCCCCCTTAATCTTTGTATCGTCTTATCCACGGGATTGAGTGTGGTTCAATTGCCGCAGCAGGCGGGGAGGCCGAACTTCATCATCCCCTTCAGAAGTTCGCACCGTAGGGGTATAAACTTTCCAGCCGCCCAGGGACAGGCGCCCCCGACAGCGAAAAAGTGTATTTTATACTGTTCTTCGCTCGCTGACTCCCCCCCTCTCCCACTTCTGAGTGGCCTCCGTGTGGCCTCTGTGTGGCCTCCATGTGGCCTCCGCCTCTGTGTGGCCTTGGCGGCCGCTTGCTCTGCCCCCCCCCCGGCGGCCGCCTGCTCTGCCCCCTTTCCCCCTTCTCTCGGGCCGGACGACGGGGGGGAACTCTGCCACCGAGGGGCCCATTCCTCGATGCATGGCCGCTTCCGGCGCCGGGAGGCGCCGGGAAAGTCAGCCACGTGAGCTGATTCTCCCCCCCCCCCCCCCTTTTGCTATCCCCCCCTTTCGCCCGGCCCGATTCTTGCATGCTGGCCAGACAGAGCGCTCCTCCGTGCCCCCGTCTAGCTCTCCTGGTGCAGCCAACTCTGCCTTGCCGCCGACGGAGAACTTCGTGCCGTGTTTGTCGTCCCCCCCCCCTCCTGCAGGCGTTCAATTGGTGCATTACCGATCTCGACCACTTTTAGCTGGCGACGCGTTTCGGACTCTAGGTCCTCTTCGGGGCCAAAAGGCTGCGGTGTCCCACGCGCGTGCCGTGCAGCGCGCGAGCAAGGCAGCAAGGGGTCAAGAGTGCGGGGGTGAAAAAAACAGGTTGTTTAACCCTTTCTGCAGGCGTTCACCCCGCCGGGGCAGTCCCCGCGCACGCCGCTCGGGCCGCCCGGGGGCGGCGTGGGCTCCCTCACGCCCGCGGGCTCGGCGAGGGGCTCGGAGAGCGGCGCGGCGCGCGGCGCGCCGCCGGCGCCGCTGGTGGCCCAGCACGAGGCTCAAGTCGGGCGTGTCCCTCTACGGGAAGAGCATCGGTTATAGCCAGAACCCCAGGTAAGGGGACCCGCTTGGTGATAGGGCCTTGGAGCCCCTGAGTTGGCCAGAAACACTAAACCAGGTCTGCCGCAGCTGGTATTTTTCGGGTGACCGCAGTTCCAGTCAGTGGAACGGGGCGGGGGGGGCGTCCCCCAGCACACATCACTAAGCCACGCCCCACTAAACCCAGTTCTGGCAACGATCTAGAGCAGATGGAAGAATCGTCCAAGCACAGCCTGGTGACGATCTGTCGGGCTAGTGTTTCTCTGCAGCGAGCACGTTTGGACTGTTTCTGATTTTTCTTTGGGAATCCGGCTGTGGGTCGGCGGCGAGCGAGGGGGGGGGAAGCGAGAAGGGGTGGGCCTTCGCAGAGGCCTCGGCAGACCCCTGGCCTTCCGAGAAGTTCTCGAAGCCTCTTCCCCGGAGACAGAACAACAACTTCTCGGACGGCGCGAGTGCTGCGGAGAAGCCCCGCCGCTTTCTGAGAAGGCCTTCTCCTCCCCTGACCTTCCAGAGTGCTAAAAGATAGCACTCCATACCTATAGACCTATCTGGACCGCCTCAAACCTCGACAGGAATTAGGACGTCGGCGTCCTGGTGCTATTTTTTAGCCCTCCTGGAAGGTCAGGGTACCCTGACGCGTCGATTCAGGAATTGGCCATTTTCGGTTCGCGAGGGGGCGTCGTGGCCGTCGTTTTTGCGGGTCCAGGTCCGTCGGTTTCGGCCCCAGGCCGTTTTCACTAAGGGGAGGTTTACGAAAGGGAGGTTTGCCCACCGCCGAATAACACGCCAAGCGTCGGAGCGACCGTTCTCTTGCCCTTCCCGGCCCCCCCCCGTGGGCCTCGCGCGCCGCCGCGTGGGAGGACATGGCCGACCTAACACCTCACACGAGGGCGGGCCGGTCCCTCTACAGGGGGAAGAATCAAAAATAGTCCAAAAATGATCTGGGGACGATTTGTTGACCACTTTTGCATATGTTAGGGCATTTTTTGTCTATTTGCCATTTTTCGTCCAAAGTCGGCCTGTAGGAGGACATGGCCGACCTAACACCTCACACGAGGGCGGGCCCGTGCCCCTCTTCATCCGCGGCGCCCCGCCCCCGGGGCTGCAGGGGCCCACGGGCCCTGGCGAGACGCCCCTGCAGGCCGGCAGGGCACCAAGCATACACCTGATGGGCCGGTGTCCCACCGCCGCTGCCAGGGGTAATTGGGAGAGGGAGGAGGTCCGAGGAGGAGGAGGAGGAGGAGGAGGAGCATGAGGAGGAGGAGGAGGAGGAGGAGGAGGAGGAGGAGGAGGAGGAGCAGGAGGAGCAGGAGGAGCAGGACGAGGAGGAGCACGACGAGAAGGAGCAGGGAGAGGAGGTGACGGACCTCCCCAGCCTCCCTTCTCCACCGTCCGACCTATGGTAGTGGTAGTGAAAAGCTGGCCCATCAGACACCTATACAACAGCTCCTGGCCGGGCCGATTCTGGGAGCGAGGTTGGTGCACACGCCGATCCAAGCCGTCCTGCCCAAGCCCGGAGGATGGAGGAAGACGAAGAAACGCCGTAAACATGTACTTTTGGTGCTCCGCGCGGATTTCTTGGATCCGCGCTGGGCCCCCCTGGCGGCGCCTCCAGCGCCGCCCCTGGCACGCTCCGCGCGCCAGGGAGGAGGTTCCAGCGCAAGTCCGAGAAGTCCGCTCGGAGCGCCAGCAGTTTCTGTTTGGGTTTCTTGTCTCTCTCTCTCTCTCTCTCTCTCTCTTTCTCCTTCCGGAGAGAAGGGGCGTGTGGACACCGCTCCTGGGCCCAGGGTTATGATGCTCCAACCTACTTCAGCCTTGGTCACCAGAAAGAATTTCGAGCGCCAGAAAAAAGTACCGAAACTCAAGGGTTTTCACGTGTCGGGCCCTGGGAGACACTCGCCCGACACTGTGTCGACACTCTTTTGACACGTTGCCGGGTGCTCGAAATCATTTCCGGGATGTGGCCCTGAAGTAGGATGGGAACAACATAAGCCCAGGGCATGGGCCTGGCCAGGGCCGCTGCGCGCGCACAAGTTGTGGTGCCCCCCCTGCCCAGGCCCTCGCGAGGGTGCCCGGGCCGCCCCTGCCCAGCATGGGGCCCCCCGTGCCCTCCGCCGCGGGGCCGGGCTTCGGGGGCGGGCCGGGCGCCGCCTCGCAGCCGCTGCCGCCCTCCGTGCCCCCGCCGCCGCCCCCGCCGAGGGAGGACGACCAGGCGTTCGTGCGCCGCATCCGGCTCACGTACATGGACAAGGCTCGGGCGGGGCCAGGATTTACGAGGTTCCAGCCTACTCTATATATAGCCTCGAGCACCCGAGGGAATTGCTCGAGCTCCATGAGGAGGTGCCGAGGCCCGAGGGTTTAATCAGGTGCCGGGCCCTGGGAGACGCTCGTTCGGCACTGTTTCGACACTTGTTCGACACCTTTCCGGGTGCTCGAAGTTATTTCTGGGATGTGGTCCTTAAGTACGATGGGAGCAACATCAGGCCAGGAGGGAAAGAAACACACAGACACAATCAATCGTCGATTCCCCAGAAAATATAAAAAAATATGGGAAGGCGGGGGGAAGACGAAAGCCCCAAACATAAGGAAACTGATGGGGAATCCTGTTATTTGTGTGTATGTGTTTGTGTGCCCTTGGGCCTCTTCACATCAGGCCAGGAGAGGGGCGCAGACCTGCTCGCGCCGTGCACGTGAAAGCGCCAGGCCGCGGGTCTTTTGTCACTGCCCTCTTCGGCCTCCATGGGGCCCTCGCTGGGCCCCGAGGCCGTCAGAGAGCGCTGCTCGGGACTTGTGCTCGGCCCCTTCTGGGCCCTCGCTATGGGCCCCCCGGGGCCGTCAGAGAGGGATCTATTCGGGGTGAAGGGGCCGGCCCTGCAGGGAAAGGGGGGACCGGGACTTCGGGGCCCCGCACCAGAGGCGTCAGGGCCTCGCGCGGTCTGGGGATGCCTCGATGCAGAGCGTCCCAGGACGCTCTGGAGCGGACGCGGCGCCCGAGGTATCCTCCAGAGCCGCCGGCTCTAAGAGATCCCCGGTTGGACCCGGTCCTCCGGCGTCGTGTCTCGGGCCCGGTTGCGTCTCACGAGGTGCACATGGAGCACGAGAAGCACGAGCTGCAGGAGCACCTGCAGGCGCTGGGGAAGAAGACGCCCTCCTGGGTGTTCGAGGTGATGGTGCTGATGCCGTACGCTGCGACCATCACCTTCACGGTGGTGGGCGCGATGGTGACGCTGAACTTCGGGGTGATGTTCAATGACACGCAGGAGGAGCTGTGGGTGCAGGGGTCCGAGGTCGGCTTGGCGCTCGTCGTGTTGCTCTTGGACTTCGTGCGCGTCACCATGGTCACCCTGGTGGAGCTGCGCAAATACGAGAACCGCAGGAAGTCGAAGGCCGGCCATTTCCTCCCCCGCCAGGTGCAGAAGCCGGGCGACAACAGGAGTCGGGTACACGTAAGAGTGACATGTTGCAGGAGTGACTTTGGTAAGTCGGGCATGTCCAATATTGAAAAGTAGTGAAAAATAGTCTGGGGAGGATTTCCGGCTATTACTTTGAACATGTTCTGGCATGTTTCGACTATCTCTTATTTTCCCTGCGAAATCCGCCTGTAGGAGGACATGCCCGACCCAAGATGTTTGAAAGCAGTAGGGCCCCCAGATGCCGGAGCGCAGTGTGACAGCAGCGTCTTGCGCACCGGGGTTTGATCTCCCCGCCTGCCCCCCGAAAGTCGCCCACCAGAGTTCACTTCTGCCCGGGGTCACTCCCCAGACATGCGATGTCCGGATTTGTTCAGTACGGGACCCCCGGAAGTCCCGACTCTTTCCCTGGGATCAGCTCTTCATCCCGAGTCGTTTGTGGACGGACCTGGGGCCCCAGTAGGGGCCCGCAGGAGGTCCAGGACGACCACAAACCTCCCGTCCTCGTTCTTGCCCAGACGCGAGCATGCCTGGGTCTTGCATGTAGCCCGAGGAAGCTGGCGCCTCCAGCCAAGTTCTGGCACAAGGCGATGGCCGCGCCTCGGGTGCCGAAGGGCCTCGGGGCGCCATCGCCCCCCCCGGCGAGGCCGCGCTTCCTGCCGCCGGGCGACGGGGTGCCCCCGCTGCCCCCCCCCGCCAAGAAGGCCGGGCTGGGCGCCCACCCGGCGTTGCTGCTGCTGCTCTCCTCCTCCTCCTCGTCCTCCTCCTCCTCCTCCTCCTCCTCCTCCTCATCATCATCATCACTCCTCCTCCCTCCTCCTCCTCCTCCTCCTCCTCCTCCTCTCTCTTTTTTTCCATCCTCCTCCTCCTCCTCCTCCTCCTCCTCCTCCTCCTCCTCCTCCTCCTCGAGAACGGGGGATTGTGGAGTCGCTGGGGTTCCACAGCGCGCGCGCGAGGGTTTCGCGCTGAGTTCGCGACTGTTTCTGTGCAAACTCTGCTCTGTGTCGTCCTCCTCTTCCTCCTCCTCCTCCTCCTCCTCCTCCTCCTCCTCCTCCGTCTCCCCCTCCGGCTACCTCTCTGCCTTTTTTTTTCTCCTGGCGCCCCCCCCCAGAACAAAAAACAGTTTTTTTTTTGTTTTTTTTTATTTTTCTGTTTTTTTTCGGGGGGGGGGCGCCAGGAGAAAAAACAAAAAGGAATGCGACGTGCCCACATCTGCCCACCCCCCTAGAAGGATTCCTATTGGACGCCCCCATAAGAAGGATTCACAGTAAAATCCTCGACAGAAGGGTTCCTATCGAAACCCTCCACTGAATGATTCCTACCGAAATCCTCCACATGTGGATTCCTACTGAAACCCTCCACTGAGTGATTCCTACTGAAATCCTCGAATGGCAATGGCAATGGCAATGACAATGGTAATGGTAATGGTAATGGTAATGGTACTGGTAATGGTACTGGTAATGGTTACGGTAATGATAGTGGTAACGGGGTAGCGAGGCAATGACAATGGCAATGGCAACGGTAATGGTAATGGTAATGGCAATGGCAATGGCAATGACAATGGCAATGGTAATGGCCATGGCAATGGTAATGGTAATGGTAAGGGTAGAGGTAAAGGTAGAGTTAAAGGTAATGGTAATGGTAATGGTAATGGTAATGGTAATGGTAATGGTAATGGTAATGGTAATGGTAATGGTAATGGTAATGGTAATGGTAATGGGAATGGGAATGGAAGTGGGAATGGGACCGGGAACGGGAATGGAAATGATAGTGGTAGTGGTAATGGTAATGGCACTGGTAATGGTAATGGTAATGGTAATGGTTATGGAAATTGTAATAGTATTGGGAATGGGAATGAGAATGGGAATTCTAATGGTAATGGCAGCGGTAGTATCATGGTAATGGGAATGGGAGTGGAAATGGTACTGGCAATGGTAATGGTAGTGACGAATGGCAATGGCAATGGCAATGGTGATGGTAATGGTAATGACAGAGGTAATGGTAATGGTACTGGTAATGGTAATGGTAACGGTAATGGTAAGGGGGTAGCGATTGGCAATGGCAATGACAATGGCAACGGTAATGGTAATGACAATGGCAATGGGATTGGCAATGGCAATGACAATGATAATGGCCATGGCAATGGCAACGGCAATGGTAAGTGCAATGGTAATGGGAATGGGAATGGGAACGGGAATGGGAATGTGAATGGGAGAAAGAACGGGAACGGGAATGGAAATGGTAGTGGTAGTGGTAACGGAAATGGGAATGATAAGGGTAAGGGTAAAGGTAAAGGTAGAGGTAAAAGTGATGGTAATGGCAATGTAAATGATAATGATAATGGTTCATGAGAATGGGAATGGCAATGGAAATGGTACTGGCAATGGTAATGGTAGTGGCTAGTGGCAATGGCAATGGCAATGCGAATGGTAATGGTAATGACAGAGGTAATTGTAATTGTACTGGTAATGGTAACGGTAATGATAGTGGTAACGGGGTGGCGATTGGCAATGACAATGACAATGGCAACGGTAATGGTAATGGCAATGGCAATGGCAATGGTAATGGCCATGGCAATGGCAATGGCAATGGTAATGGTAATGGCAATGGTAATGGGAATGGGAATGGGAACGGGAATGGGAATGTGAATGGGAATGGGAATGGGAACGGGCATGGAAATGGCAGTGGTAGTGGTAACGGAAATGGGCATGGTAAGGGTAGGGGTAAATGTAAAGGTAGAGGTAAAGGTAATGGTAATGGTAATGGCAATGGCAGTTGTAATGGTATTGGTAATGGTATTGGGAATGGGAATGTGAATCGGAATGGTAATGGTACTGGCAATGGTAATGGTAGTGGCGAAGGGCAATGGCAACGGCAATGGTAATGGTAATGGTAGTGGCGAATGGCAATGGTAATGGTAGTGGCGAATGGCAACGGCAATGGCAATGGTAATGGTAATGGCAATGACAGTGGTAATGATAATGGTACTGGGAATGGTAATGGTGACAATAACGGTAATGGTAATGGTTATGGCAATGGTAACGGGGTGGCGATTGGCAATCGCAACGGCGATGGCAATGGTAATGGTAATGGGACTGGCAATGGCAATGGCAATGGGAATGGCAACGGCAATGGCAATGGCAATAGCAATTGCCATGGCAATGGTAATGGTCATGGTCATGGTAATGGGAATGGGAATGGGAATGGGAATCGCAGTGGTACTTGGAACTGGAACGGGAATGGAAATGGTAGTGGTAGTGGTAATGATAATGGCAATGGTAATGGAAATGGTAGTGGTAGTGGTAATGATAATGGCAATGGTAATGGAAATAGTACTGGTAACGTTAATTCTAATGGCACTGGTGATGAGAATGGGAATTGTAATGGTGATGGCAGCGGTAATGGTAATAATGGCAATTGTGTTGGTAATGCTATAGGTAATGGCAATGGTAATGGTAGTGGCGAGTGGTAATGGTAATGGGAATGGTAATGGTAATGGTAACGGTAATGGTAACGGGGTGGCGACTGGCAATGGCAATACCATGGCAATGGCAACGGCAATGGCAATGATAATGGCAATTGTAATGGCAATGGTAATGGCACTGGCAATTGTAATGGCAATGGTAATGGTAATGGTAACGGTAAAGGTAAAGATAAAGGTAAAGGTAATGGTAATGGTAACGGTAGTGTGAGTGGGAATGGGAATGGGGATGGTAATGGTAATGGTATTGGGAATGGGAATGGGAATGGGAATGGGAGTGGGAGAGATTGAGAGAAAGAGAGAGAGAGAGAGAGAGAGAAAACGAGAAAGGAAACATCAGCATAATGATGAGGAACAACGTGAAATATCGTACATTTTCGTCTAAAACCCACAGCGACTCCACAATCCCCCAGCCTCTCCTCCTCCTCCTCCTCGTCCTCCTCGTCCTCCTCCTCCTCATCCTCCTCTCTCTCCCCCCTCCTCCTCCTCCTCTCCTCCTCCTCCTCCTTCCCTCCCTTCCTCTCCCTCCTCCTCTCCTCCTCCTCCTCCTACCTCTCCTCCTCCTCCTACTCCCTCCTCCTCCTCCTCCCTCTCCTCCTCCTCCTCCCCCCCTCCCCCTCCTCTCTCCTGCCCTCGTCGTCCTCCTCCTCGTCGTCCTCCTCCTTCATCTCTCCTCCTCCCTCCTCCTCTCTCCTCCTCCTTATCCTCCTTCTCCTCTCTCTCTCCTCCTCCTACCTCTCACTGATTTTCATGCACCTCCCTCCTCCCTCCTCCCTCCTCCCTCCTCCCTCCCCCTCATCCAGCATCACTCATCACTCATCACTCTTTCCTTTTCCCTCCTCCCTGCTCCCTCTTTCCTCCTCCCTCGACTACTCCCTCCTCCTCGTCCCGTTCTTCTTCTTCTTCTTATTATTATTATTATTCTTAGTTGTGTTGTTTTCTTCTCAGTATGTTCATTATTCGTTTTATTATTATTATTTTTATTAATATTATTATTACTATTACTATTATTTTTATTATTATCATTATTATCATTATTTTTATTATTGTTATTATTGTTGATATTCATAGTATTCTTATTATTCGTATTCTTATTATTAGTCTTATTGTTCTTATTCGTCTTCTTCTTATTATTATTATTCTTCTTATTCTTCTAATTATTATTATTATGATTCCTCCTCCTCATCCTCCTCCTCTGGTTTGGTGAGAGGCTGCAGCACGGCACCGACATGTCCTGTCTGCGCGCTGTGGTGAAGATGCCGGAGGCGACTCCGCGGCACCAGCACCTGGCCTCCCTGCTGGTCACCATCGCGGCTGGTGGCGCCTGGCCTGGAGCGCGCGTCGCCGAGGTCTTCGGCCTGAGCGAGGACGCCGCCTGCATGTGTCCGCGCTGCGGGCATTCGCTGGAGACGCCCATGCATCGCATCTGGGAGTGTGGGGCCAATGGCGGGTCCAAAGCCTATGACCTCAGCGCTCCCCTCATCGCGAGGGCGTATGTTGAAGTCACGGCCTTCCCCTGCTTCTGGCTTCACGGCATGCTGCCTGCTGCTTGGACGCGCGTGCCCGAGCCCCCCGAGCTGGCCAAGTGGACTTTCATCGGCGATGCATCGGGCGAGCCTCGCCTGGGCACTGGCACGGTGGGAGCTGCCCTGGCGCTGTTAGGCGACGCCAGCGGCGGCGCCGACTCCAAGTCGCCGCGCCTTAGGCGAGCGGGAGTCGGTGTTTGCAGCACCGACCCTGAGGTGCTCGAGGTCGTGCACGCCGTCTTCGGCCCTCTCGCTGGACGCCGCCAGACGGTGCGCCGAGGGGAGCTGCAAGCGATGGTGCCGGCGGTTGCGCATTCGCGTGGGCATACGGTTTTCGTCACCGACAATGTTGCGGTCTGCGAGGGTTGGTGGAAGCGGTGCGACCAGCACCCCGAGGGCCTGGGCGCTGACCTCTGGCACGAGCTCGGCGTCATCTTCAGTCACCGTCAGAGGAGCGATTTCGCGGTGGAGCCCGTGAACTCGCACCTCACCGTCGAGGAGGCGCTGGGGCGCGGGGTGCCGCTCGCCGTGGTGCGGGGCAGCGCGATGGCGGACGCGCTGGCGGGACGCGCTGCTGAGCTGGCGCGAGTGGCCCCGTGAGGTCCGCCAGCAGGGCGAGGCCGCCGAGCACCGCGCCTCCTCGATGCGCTGGAGGCTCCTGCGCGCCACCCTGCACGCGCCAGCCGCCGCTGCCGCTGCGGGCCCCCCGACCTGCCGCGCGCGGGCCCCCGCGCGCCGCGCGCCTCCCGCGCCGAGATTGGTCGCGGCCTTCAGCTCCTCCCCCACGCTGCACGGGGACGGGAGGAGTTGCTCGCGATGCCGTTCTTCGGCGGGGCACGCCAGCCGAGTGCCATGGCTGCGCAGCCCGTGCTGCGGGCTCGAGACGATCGGCGACGGCTGGGCGCAGCTGGCCACACGGCCTTCTGGCGAGGCAGTACAGCTGCACGTCGGCGACAGCGCTGTCCACGCGTCCTACCAGATGCAGCTGCCGGTGGCCCAGGACGTGTGGGCCTGCCGCCGCTGCGGATGCTTCGCCTGGCCTGGGCTTCGCGCGCTGGGCCGAGGCCTCTCGACGCCGCGCGGGCCGCCCACGGCCACAGGGTCGGAGTGCATCAGGAAGCTGGCACGAGGACTCTGGCCCCAGGCGGGGTCTGCGAGCTCGCGGATCGAGGGCGTCGACGGATGCGACGCCGAACCCGACGCCAAACATGACGCCGAACTGGGTGACCTCGAGGTACTAGATGTTCCACGGAGGAAAGGGGCTTCGGGCCGCACGCGCGGCGGCCTCCCCGCCAGCGGCGGCCGCGGCCGCGGAGGCCACAAGCTCCGCGGGCCGCGTCGGCGAGGGCGAGGCCGAACGCGCGGCGGCCTCCACGGCGGCCTCCGAGCTCGTGCCAGCGGCGGCAGCGGGGGCCGCCAGCTCTGCAGGCCGCGTCGGCGAGGACGGCATGCCTTCGCCGAGCTGCACCAGCGCATGGCCTCGAGAGGCGCTTGGTGGGGTGCGGCCCTTCGCCGAGCGTCGGCGCCATGCCTGCGCGCAGCGGCCGAGCCGAGGGTCGATCCGCGAGGGGCGGGGGCCATAGTGGGCGCTCCGAAAGGAACTCGCGACGCCCCCGCCCCAAAGCGGCACTCGCCGAGGCGAAGCCGCCTGCATCGCACGACGGACTTGCTGCACCGCTTCGCGACCTCCTTCGGCCAGAGGCTCGCGATGCTCATGGCGCTGCATGCTGGGGCGGAGCTGGCGGCGCGGCTGGGGAGCGGCCTTGCGGCGCGCGGGCCCCCCGCCAGGAAGGCGCGTCCACGCCGAGCTGCGCCAGCACGTGGCCTGGAGAGGCTCGCGATGCTCATGGCGGTGCACGCTGTGGCGGAGCTGGCGGCGCGGCTGGGGAGCGGCCCTGCGGCCCACGATTGCGCGGGGCGCCGCGGCCGCCGCAGCCCCCGCCTCCGCCGACCCAGGCCGCCTTGACCTTCGGAGCTCGTTCGGCGGGTGGCAGGGCTACCGCCCGCCCGCCGCAGGCACTGCGGCGGAGGCGGTCAGGCCATGGAGCCCGAGGGGCGGACTGTTAGTCAGGCCGCTGGCCGTGGTGTTCTACCACGGGCCGAGGGTTGAACCCACGAAGCCCCCCTGTCGGCGGGGCCCTCGGCCCAGCGCCGCGCTCTGCGCGCCGCTCCGCCCGCGGGCGTTCCGCGGGCGGCGGAGGGCGGCGGGCGCGGTCGACGCACTCGCTCGCCTCTCGGCCTGCTCTCACTCACTCCTCCTCCTCCGCCTCCTCCTCCTCTGCGAGTGACCCTGGGCTGCAGTGACTTTTGGTGCGCAGCTTCAGGGTCGCCCGCGGGGGTCCAACACAGCCGCCCAAACCAGTGCTGCCGCGCCCCATCAGCGATCGGCGGGACGCCACTCGAATGATATTTTGCGCTTGCGGGCAACCTCGGAATTCCGCCAGCCTCTCTCTCTCTCTTTCACAACCGCCTCTGCGGTTCCCTGTCAACGCCGCCCCGCGCCAAACGCGCGCGGGCGCGGACGGGGCCGGGGCAGGGCCCAACCCGTTCCGACAGGAGGAGGAGGAGGAGGAGGAGGAGGAGGAGGACGAGGAGGACGAGGAGGACGAGGAGGACGAGGAGGAGGAGGAGGAGAAGAAAGGCCACCCGCCCTCTCTTGCTCAAGTCATCCTGCGGCCTACCGAATTCATCATCCCTCGCCATCCTCCTCCTCCTCGTAGTCCTCCTCCTCCTCCTTTTTCTTCCCTTCCTTCTCCTCCTCCTCCTCTTCCTCCTCCTCCTCATCATCATCATCATTATCATCGTCATCTGTCTCCTCCCTTCCTCCTCCTCCTCCGCTCCTACTCTTCCTCCTCCCTCTCTTCTCCTGGCCCCGCTGCCCCCTCCCGCCAAGAAGGCCGGGCCGGGCGTCCACCGGGCGCTGCCGCCTGTGGCGCCGGCGCTGCCGGTGGCCGCTGCCCCCGCCCTGACCAATACCGCGAAGCAGCCGGCGTTCTCTGCCTCGGCGCTCAGGGGAGGAGATGCTAAGCCCTTTCAAATGGGGTGTTGGTAACCGCGGTGGTAGCTGAGGGGCCTCACTTGTGCGTGATCAGTCGGGACGACAAGATCGTAGATACATCATCATAACTCTGGGCGGGGGGGGGGGGGTACCTCGCACTTGTGCGCGGCAAGTTCATGTTTGTCGGAGGCACAGTTGAAAACGCACCCGTAGCTACCACCCCTGTTTGCAGGGGCTTGGAGATGCCAGTGCCCAGACGTGCTCGCGTCGTGGCGAAAACCATGACGGGAGGTTTTTGGCAATTTTTGGCTTCCGTCGTTTGGCCCCAGGACCGTCCAAAAACGACTCGCGATGAAACACCAGTCCCGGGAAAGGGTTGAGACTTCTGGGGTGCGCCGTGTTCAAATCAATGCATCGGGTCTTTGGGTAGGAGGCGAAGATGCCAGCATATACCGCTGCTCGTCCTAGAGGGCTCTCCTCGCCACGGCCGGATTCTTCTCGAAGTTCCAGTCAGAACGCAGCTTACATTGTTTTGTGTTCGCCTTTGGCGCGCCACGGGCGTTTCTCGGTCCAAACCTTCCCACGACCCGGGTTCATTGCGGGCGCACCCCCGCCTCGACATGCCCTATCCCGTCCAAGCGTTAACCGCTGCCCTGGGCCCCCACCACCCCCACCCACCCACCTGGGCATCTCCCGTTAATCGGGCCGGACGAAAGGGGGGGGATTGGGAAACGGGGGGTTACGAAATTTGCTGCATGCAGCTGGTTTCGGCCCCACTCAGGGGCCCATTCCTCGATACATAGCCGCCTCCGGCGCCAGGAGGCGCCGGGAAAATCAGCCACGTGAGCTGATTCTCGGACCCCCCCTTTGCTATCCCCCCTTCTCGCCCGACCCGAGTTAAGTAAGAGGTGTCTTCCAGGCTAGGTCCGGGGAGTGTCGGCATGGGCACCGTATATATTGTTTCCCCAGGCGCTGCGCTTCACCGGCGGCACGCCCCCGGGCTCTGTGGGCGGCACGCCCAGGCGCCGGGGGGGGCCGCGGGGGCCAGCGGGCAGTCATCACTGAAGGGATGTCGGCGCGCTGCGCCGCATGAGGGGCAGCATTGTTAGGGGAACAAAAAGGAACATAAACATAATTATCCCAGTGCGACCCTACCTAGGAGTTGGGGCATTTCGGAAAGCAACATCTACATCTACACCGACAGCTACATTATCATCTACACCTAAGCTAGGCTAGGCTAGGCTAAAGCTAAGCTAAGCCAAGCTAAGCCAAGCTAAGCTAAGCTAAGCTGAGGTAAGCTCAGCTAAGCTAAGCTAGGCAAGGCAAAGCTAAGCTAAGATGAGATATGCTAAGCTAAGCTAAGTTAAGCTAAGCTGAGCTAAGCTCAGCTGGGTGAACCCAGGGGGCGTAACTGTGGGAACCACGGGGCGGATGCCGGGGGAACCGCCCGGGGCGATTTACACTGCCCGCCCTAAGCGTCTGTTTACACTGATGTTAGTCCTTTCGGGGATACTTTTGTTGTATTTAATTTTTTGTTGCGTATGTCTTTTTTTTGTATGTAGTTTTGTTTTTTTTATTGTTGTTGTTACTATGGTTGTTATATCTTTTTTTTTTTCGTGTTTGTATGTTTGATTTTATTTTTTATTTTTTTTTTTTTTTTTACTTTTTTTTCTTTTTGTATTTTTTTTTATTTTAGCGAGTAAGAACCCTTCTAGGCAGAGCCTAGGTAGGGAATAAACTGCTCTGCTATGCTAAAGCTCAGCGAAGCTAAGATGAAGGTGAGCTAAGCTAAGATAAACCTGAGCTAAGATGAAGCTATGCTAAGCTAAGATGAAATATGCTAAGCTAAGATGAGATAAGCAACGCTAAGCTAAGGGAGCGTCACTTGGGGAACCGCGGAGCGGATGCTGGGGGAACCGCCCGGGGCGAGTTGCACTGCCCGGCCTTTTGAGCATACCGAGTAAGAACCCTTCTAGGCAGAGCCTAGGTAGGGATAAACTAAAAACTCTGAGGTCCGCGTGGATTTCTCGGATCGGCGCTGGCCCCCCCTCCCTGGCGCGCGGAGCGCGCCAGGGGCGGCGCCGGAGGTGCCGCCAGGGGGCCCAGCGCCGATCACAGAAATCCGCGCGGACCTCCGAGTTTTTATGTTTATGTCATTTTTTGTTCCCCCAATTGTGCCTGAGGGCACGACGAGGGTTCGCTAATCGACTTGCGGGGATCAAGCCGGGCAGATCAAGGGAAATTCAGGCAAGCCGAGGCAGATCCAAGCAAATCCAGAGTCAAGTTGGGCCTGTCCCTCTACAGGAGGAAACTTCAAGAGGAAACTTCAAAGATAGTAAAACATAGTTTGGGGACGATTTGTTGATTATTGGAGAGGCCTGACGGCCGGTGCCGCCGACCCTGATCGAAAGGGCTAGGATTGGGGGGAGGAAGCGGAGGAGGAGGAGGAGGAGGAGGAAAAGGAGGAGGAGCAGGAGGAGGAGGAGGATGAGGAGCAAAAGGAGGAGAAGGAGGAGGAGGAGGAGGAGGACGAGGAGGAGGAGGAGGAGGAGGAAGTGCATCCTTTGTGTGCCCTCTCGAAGAAAGTGCGCCCTGGGAGTGTGATATTCTGACTTGGGCCGTGCTCCCGGAAGAGGAAGAAGTGCAGTTCGGGCTCGCCCGCTCGAGGAAAATGCGCCCTAGGGGGGTGGTATTTTGACTCGGGGCCCGCTCCCGGGACGCCTCTGCGGGAGGAGGAGGAGGAGGAGGAGAAGGAGGAGAGGAGCAGGAGGAGGAGGAGGAAAAGGAGGAGGAGGAGGACCAGGAGGAGGAGGAAGTGCATCCCGTGCGTGCCCGCTCGAGGAAAGTGCGCCCCGGCGGGCGTCGTATCTGCCCCGGCCCCCCCCCGCCCCTCCCCCCCCCCCTGCGGGGAAGGGATCAAAGGGAAGGGGCTTCCCTTCGACTCCACTACGACGTCGTTTAATTTCGCTTTGGATAGCGCACTTGAGGAGGAGAGCCCTGGGAGGGGGAGGACGGAGACGACGGAGACGACGAGTCGAACGGAGAAGCCGTCATACACGCCGACAGGGTCGGCGGATTTTTGATAATTTTAGGGATATGCTTCCATTACTTGAAATGTTTCACCGAAGATCGGCCTGCACGGGGACAGGCCCGACGTAAATCCAGAGATCTCCATGGGACAGTTGGAGCACCTCGTGGCCGATCCAGCGCGAGCCGAGGGACGGCATAAGTCCTCTTAACGATAGTGGCGGTACTGCGTTGGAGCCTGCGGTTGGTAATTGCCTTATGCTGGAGGCTTGAAAATTGGCACCAACACCAACGCAAGGGGGGGTGCCTCCACCAGGGGAAGATGATCCCAGATTTCGGTGTTGGTGGTAATCTTTCGGCCGCCTAGGAAGCCAGAATATGACCACCATCACCGAGATTGGGATACTCTTCCCTCGGTGGAGGCATAACGCCGATATTGGAGTTGGTGTCAACCTCTAGGCCTCCGAAGCTATGGGCATCGTGATTACTCAAAGGCACCGTTTCGCTGTGATTGGCAGCTACCTTCCCAGGCACGGGCAGGGCCGCTCGACAACCGCGGGCCCCAGGGCCGACAAGCCCGAGATTGGTAGAGTCAGCAGTGTGGTTTCATAACTGATAGAGAAGGCGGTTCCGAGGCCAGGGTCGCCGAGCTTCAAGGCATGACCGTCGACCCCACCCTCAGTTGACTGTAGATCGAAAGGTCGCCCAGGGTAACCAGGGTCGCGATTTCGGGGGTTGCTTCTGCTAGTTTCTGTCGCGGAAGTTTTATTGTGACGAGTTTGGATATTCTGGCGAGGCCAGTCGAATTCTCACTTTCTGACAGCATTGGCTTCGTTTTGCAGCTCCCTGCAGGAAGCCGACAGTGTCACCAGTGTGGCATTGCCGATGACAGTTCCCAGAAGTCTCAGGCAGTGAGCAGTGGCGAGGGTAAGGCACGCGGAGCGCCGTCCTACGTGGGCCCAAGCAGGACCTCGCCCACGTGGGGACGTGCCGTGAGGCTGACCAGGAGGATTCAGAAGAAACACAGGATGAAGGGGAGGGCGAGGGGGGGGGGGGGGGACAAAGAGGCAAACCACCAGCGCGCTGCCCCTTCATGTTTGCGCACGAGCCACAGCTTCGGTGTTCGCTGGTGCAACATCACGCATCCAAATACGCAGCTCTCCACAGAGAGGGCCGCGCCTTGAAGGAGCCAGGAAGTTGGCATCTGTTCTCCGGCGGAAGAAGGCGGCGGAGGGGCGGCGGAAGCCATCGGAAACAAGACGAGACAGTTCCCACCGGCGGAAGCCAGCGGAAGGAGAAATCTGCCTCAGCAAGGTTCTTGCTTTTCAGAGTCGTCATAGTTCGCCACATCTATAGACCTATCGCCGCAGCCGGAGCGAGCCCCCTCGCCAGGTCAGTGCTGTCCGGCACCGGAAGGTCTGGCCCCCCCGCCTTCGGCGGCGCTGGCACGCCGCCGCCGCGCCCCAGCGATCTCGACACGACCCTGAGGCCGGAGCTGGACGACGACAACGACGACGACGACGAAGACGACGACGACGACGACGACGACGACGACGACGACGACGGCGGCGGCGGCGGCGGCGGCGGCAAATTGAAACGAGACGAAACCACCGCGCGAGCCGTTCCCACGCCAGGCGGCCCAGCAGGGGCTGGAGTTTGGAGCTGGCTGGGGGTCTTGAGTCGTCCATCCAAGACGTTGCCGACGCATCGTCGATGAATCGGCGTTGCGGTTCCGCGTTGCGACCCCCACTCTGGTTCCAGTTGGGCTCAGAGGAGGAGAAGGTTCCCATACCGCCACCCTCGCCTCGTGTTCCCCTGTTTGGGCGTCCTGGGAGGCCCTCGTCGCCACCGCTGGGTTCGCCTCGAGATGTTGGTCAGACCGCCCCTTGCAGAGGTCCAGGGAGCAACAACCTGGGCACAGTGTGGCTTCCCCATGAGCGGCATCCGAGCACATAGTGGGCGTGGGGAGCCTTTGCTCGCCTTGGGGGGAGGGTGCCCGAGCCTCGAAACTATATTACTTATCTACGGCTTCCGAATGCTGAACGATCGGTTGCGGGGTATTGTCCAGACTCTGCAGAGCAACCTTCACGATGTCCTGAGAAATCTTGGGAGAGGTCCCCGTGTACTGCAACTGGTGTTCACCAGCGCTTGAGGTAGCAAGACCTGGAGCATGATGAATGTCTGACGGCGAGGTCTGGATTACAGTAGGGGTCTTGAAGAAGGAACCCTTTTCGTTGGGGAGGGGCTCCGTGTTCCTTGATTGTTTCACAGCTTGCCTCAGGTTTTCCCAATGTTTTCGATGGGGAATCGAAGTTTTTACTTATGGGAAAATGGGGCCTCGTTCCTTATTTAGGGTTCCTTAGGTCAACGCCCCGACTGTAATTAATTAGCCTGGCGAAGGACCCAACCATATGCAGTTGTGAATGCCGCAATTGTGCTGGGTGGTGGCGGACGCATGCGGGCGGTGCCACTGGGACCTTCGGTGGAGCTCCCTATGGGGCCACGAAACGCTGTATTGGGTGGGTGAGACGCGGTCAGCAAGGGCTGTGCTGCGTGGTGGCGGACGCATGCGAGCGGTGCCTTTGGGACTTTCGGTGGAGCCCCCTATGGGGCCACGAAACGCTGTACTGGGTGGGTGAAACGCAGGCAGGGAGCAAGGGCTGTGCAGGGTGGTGGCGGACGCATGCGGGCGGTGCCGCTGGGACCTTTGGTGGAGCTCCCTATAGGGCTACGAAGCGCTGTTCTGGGTGGGTGAAGCGCAGGGAACAAGGGCTGTGCTGGGTGGTGGCGGACGCAAGCGGGCAGTGCCACTGGGACCTTTGGTGGAGCCCCCTATGGGGCCACGAAACGTGCGAGGGGTGTGCCAGAATGGGGTGTGGAACCGCATGCCAGCGCAGCCACTGGGCCTTCGGTGGAGCTCCCTATGGAGCCACGAAACGTGTGAGGGGTGTGCCGAAATGGGGGGGGGTGGAACCGCATGCGAGCGCAGCCACTGCGGCGTTCGGTGGAGCTCCCTATGGGGCCACGAGACGTGTGAAGGGCGTGCCGAAAAAGGGGTGGAACCGCATGCGAGCGCAGCCACTGGGGCCTTCGGTGGAGCTCTCTATGGGGCCACGAACCGTGTGAGGGGTGTGCCGAAATGGGGGGGGGAACCACATGCGAGCGCAGCCACTGGGGCGTTCGGTGGAGCTCCCCATGGAGCCACCCACGAAGCGTGTGAGGGGTGTGCCGAAATGGGGGTGGAACCGCATGCGAGCGCAGCCACTGGGGCCTTCGGTGGAGCTCCCTATGGGGCCACGAAACGTGTGAGGGGTGTGCCAGAATGGGGATGGAACCGCCATGCGAGCGCAGCCGCAGGGGCGTTCGGTGGAGCTCCCTATGGGGCGGCGAAGCGTGTGAGGGTGTGCGAGAATGGGGGGTGGAACCGCATGCGAGCGCAGCCACTGGGGCGTTCGGTGGAGCTCCCTATGGAGCCGCGAAACGTGTGAGGGGTGTGCCAGAATTGGGGGTGGAACCGCATGCGAGCGCAGCCACTGGGGCGTTCGGTGGAGCTCCCCTATGGAGCCCACCGAAACGTGTGAGGGGTGTGCCAGAATCAGGGGTGGAACCGCATGCGAGCGCAGCCACTGTGGCCTTCGGTGGAGCTCCCTATGGGGCCACGAAACGTGTGAGGGGTGTGCCAGAATTGGGGGTGGAACCGCATGCGAGCGCAGCCACTGGGGCGTTCGGTGGAGCTCCCTATGGGGCCACGAAGCGTGTGAGGGGTGTGCCAGAATGGGGGGTGGAACCGCATGCGAGCGCAGCCACTGGGGCCTTCGGTGGAGCTCCCTATGGGGCCACGAAACGCGTGAGGGGTATACCAAATTGGGGGTGGAACCGCATGCGAGCGCAGCCACTGGGGCCTTCGGTGGAGCTCCCTATGGAGCCACGAAGCGTGTGAGGGGTGTGCCGAAATGGGAGGTGGAACCGCATGCGAGCGCAGCCACTGGGGCCTTCGGTGGAGCTCCCTATGGGGCCACGAACCGTGTGAGGGGTGTGCCAGAATGGGGGGTGGAACCGCATGCGAGCGCAGCCACTGGGGCCTTCGGTGGAGCCTTAATGGGCCACGAAACGTGTGAGGGGTGTGCCAGAATGGGTGTGGGAGGGGGAGGAGGGGGGAGGAGGGAGGGAGGAAGGAGGCGGGAACGCGGGGCACGGTCTCTTCACAATGAGGACAAACTAGAATCAAGTCTCGAGCCCCCTCCCAAGTCCCGTCACGCGATCGGTCAAGCCCCGTGGCAGCGCCAGGCGAAAGTGCTCTCCCCAGGTGTAGAGTTCCAGCTCCTGCTGGAAGGTCATGGTCGTACCCAGGTCGGGTTTGTGAAGCTACTGCCCCCCCCCCTTTGCTGTCCCCCGCTTCCTTTCTCCCCTCCCTCCCTCATCTCATCTCCATACCTGCTCTCTTCCTCCTCTCTCTCTCCCTCCCTCCCCTTACTTCAAGGTTGTTAGGCTCGGGCCGCCCTCCAGACTTGTGGACCGAGTGAGGATTGCTGAAAGACTCGGCCACACTACAACACTCCAAGGTCATGGTGCTAGTTCCTTTCCCTTCTGGATGGTCAGGGCCCTCCCTTCGACAAAAACAAGCGTGTGAATATATAATATGGATGAATACCAGGTCCCCGGCCCCGGGGCTCCGGCCCACCCCCGGGACATCCGGGTCACGCCCGTGTTACCCCCCCCCCCCCAGGGGCTCCAAGACGGCCCAAGAGGCCCTCGAGACGGCCCAAGAATGTTCCAAGACGGTCCAAGAGGGTCCAGAGTCGCCGAAAGATCGGTCCAAGACGCCCATGACGACCCAAGACGCCCCCAAGAATCCCCAGAGGCCTCCAAGAGGCCTCCCAAGACGGCCCCGAGAGGCAGAAATCGTTGATTGTTCATTTGTTTTTTATGTGTTTTTTGGTTTCTCGCTCTGAGGCTCCAAGACCGCCCGAGAGGCTCCCAAGACTGCTCCAAGACGGCCCAAGATGCCCCCAAGAGAGCCCCAAGACGGCCCAAGAGAGCCCCAAGACCGCCCCGGATCCGCCCAAGACGACCCAAGAGTGCCCCAAGAAGGCCTCAGAGGGGCCCAAGAGAGGGAACACGAACCGAAAAATCGAGCTCTCCGCCCGAAGATGCCCCCATGAGAACCCAAGAAGCCCCCAAGACACGATCTGACCGCTCGCGGGGACCCCATTTAGGTCCAGGGGAGATGGTTAGGGGCAGAGGTACCCTCCCCGAAGGGGTAGAGGGAAGGGTGGAGGGAGGAAACGCGCTTAACCACCTACGCACAGAGAGCTGGTGGGATTCTCTTCGCAACTCCTCTCATCCCCTGTTCTGTCAAACGAATGCTCTGCCTGTGCCGCCCTAGAACCTAAGCGCGCGCGAAGCGCGCGCGTGGTTCTAGTATATGTATATATATATATATATGTCTGTATGTATGTATGAATGTATGTATGTATGCATGCATGCATGTATGTATGTATGTATGTATGTATGTATGTATGTATGTATGTATATATATAGTAGTGGCCTCTGGCCAGTGCCGCCGATCCGGGGTGCTACCGATTATGCTTGCAACGGATGACCGCTTATGTTTAAAATAAAGCATTCGCTTGCGACATCCTCATAAGATAGAGATGTTGAACTCGCTTGGGCAACCTTCGGATATTCGAAAGTGACGATCTCGCGTGAACAGCCAAACTCATGGGATGTCCCCTCCCACTTTCCCGGCCTGAATGGCGTCAGCCATGGCGTCAGCCCCCGCCCCCCCGACTCCCCCGTCCCGGGCGTGAATAGCGTCAGCCATGGCGTCGGCCCTCCCCCCCCCTCTCCTTTCCCGAGCTTGAATGCGTCAGCTATGGCGTCAGCCCCTCCCCCCCTACAGAGTAAAGTTTGAGCGAGCTCCCCCGTCCCTCCTCCCTCCTGGGCCTGAATGGCGTCAGCAATGGCGTCAACCCTCCCCCCCCCCTCCCCGACTCCTCCCTCGCGGGCCTGAATGGCGTCAGCCATGGCGCCCCCCTCCCCCCCCTCACCCCTCCCCCCTCATGGGCCTGAATGGCCTCAGCTATGGCGTCAGCCGCCCCCCCCCCCGACAGAGCGAAGCTTGAGCGAGCTCCCCCCCCCCTCCCCCTTCCCCCCCCCCCCCCTCCTGGTCTGAATGGCGTCGCAGCCATGGCGTCAGCTCCCCTTCCCCCCCCCGACTCCCTCCTCCCGGCCTGAATCTCCCGCCCCCCCCCTTCCCCCGCCTGGGCCTGAATGGCGTCAGCTATGGCGTCAGCCCCCATCCCCCCCCCGACAGAGCGAAGCTTGAGCGAGCTCCCTCCCCCCCTTCCCTCCTCCCGGGCCTGAATGGCGTCAGCCATGGCGTCAGCTCCCCCCCCATCCTCCTCCCGTGCCTGAATGGCGTCAGCCATGGCGTTCCCCCCCCCCCTTGATCCCTCTCCCGGGCCCGAATGGCGTCAGCCATGGCG